ATAAAACCCTGATTCTAACCCCCACCCTAAAGGCCATTTTCCACTCCAACTGTATCGAAGTGTAGCGAATTTCTATGTTTCCTGAGCACACCAGAGTGGAACTAATGACTTTGACACAAACAAAAATGGTACGATACCTTATGTATGAGTATTATGCCCAGCGGCGGAAACTTTGCAAAATATTGGGGGGGGGGACAAGTGCCAAAGGCACAAGATTTCAAGTGGGGTATGGGGGAATGCTCCCCCAGAATTGTAATTATGCCTATTACGACTATAAAAGTGAAATTAAGTGAGTGTTTTAATTGAAATAAATAAATACAAAACATTTTAAAGAAAAATTTATTCAGTTGAATGACCAAAGTCCAACCAAAGTGCAAAGTCTCAACCGAAGTGTAATTGCTTAAATTGATAATCTTATGAAAAAAACATGGTAAATTTGTGCCAACAAGTTCAAAATTTGTGCCAACAAATTTACAAGAAATTGCAGTTCTGATGTTTGAATGCACATAACCACACCACAACGTTATCAAATCTCTTCAGTGGTGTAACATTACTTTTTTGAACACTTGTCCTCAGGGAAAGTTGAACATGAAAGATAGTTGCCCTGAATAAAATTCACTTGCCATCAGACGACGGCCACTGGGGTACCTAGATATAAATTAAATGGACAACATGTTGACACATTCTCCCACTGCTCTATATGGCTATATTATACTGCCTCAGATCTAGCTTTGGCCCACAAAAAAAATTGAATCAAGTACATGCACTATAAAAAATTTATCCGACAATGAGAACATAAACTTAAAGATGCCCAGCTTTTTGTGGCAAGGCAATTTGCCCAATCGGGCAAGCAAGATAAAGTGTTAAAAAAATCTTTGTCTTGGGGATGATCAGCTGCGGTGTTGACTGAAAACGCTGAACTGTAGGAAACACTTAAGCGTATAGCTGTCTTATTTTATTTTTTGTTTTTCTTTAGATGACTCCTTGTTGTCTTTTGGCGAGGCCTTGTAATATTGCGTAGGGCAAAATCTCCATTGTTCAAAAAGAGATCGTTCAAGGCAACCGAAAGGCAAAGAAGACAATGGAATAGTGTATCTCATTGTTTTACTACCAAGAAATGATCCACGACAATGATTTGATAAAGCTGAATATGGTCAAGTGATTTTCTGTGTGAACCCGACATACTCTCTATAGAGATATTATTACTATACATTTGATATTCAACTAAATATGATTAAAGCACTAGAGATGTTACCTGTACATCACTGTTTCATTTTATAATATTTTTATAGTATATCGTTTTCCCATGAAGCTTTGTTACTTGTGCAAAAACGCAACTCCAGGTTTCAAACAGTTTTTGCTTTCGGGTTTTTGTCGAAATATTGATTTTCCTTGGATAAATCTACGGTATCAACCGCTCAAACTGTTCTACGAACTCTCTTGCTCCCCACTCCCTTGAGTCTATTACACCATAGCGAGTATGTCCTCATTTTCAAGCAGGTCAGTGTGAACGCCTGAGCAGGCGTCTTGTTAATCATAATCTGTCAAACACCAATGTCCGGTTGTGAGGAACACATTACACCGCGGCAGTTAAACCATGCACATCAATGCGAGCAATCATGTGTTTTGCTCTCTTAGACTTTCTGGGAAGAACTCCATGACGAAAATCGGACGTCAGCATGACAAAACATGGTCTCGTTACATCAGAATCATGCCTGAAAACATCCTAAGGATAATTTTTATAAAGCACAAAGCCACAATAACTATAGTTGACTGCGTATCCGCGTATCCACTGCACTATAATATAGAGCAATCTATAGCATGACAATTTGATCTATTAATGCTAAATAATTAAATCTAACTGTATGCCTCGTTCTCAAAATAACGACTCGACTTATTTAATTGACTGCGTATCCACGTATCCATTAAAACATGTAGCTATCTGTATCATGACAATTTGATCTATTAATGCTAATCTAACTATGCCTCGTGGCTCATTCTCCGAAAATAACTGCTTGACAGCATCACTGTATGCCTCGTAGCTACCTTGGCCACCATGCCATTTTAATCTATCAATCTCAGTTTATTATTAATCTACGAATCCATGATGTTTGAAAGGCATATAAAAAATGAACGGGTATTCTGCATACAATCGCTCCAAAAGAGTTACGTACAAAAAAGAGTAATAAAATATGTCAGATGTCATGCACCACATAAGAAGACATGAAGCCGCAATAGGGCCATTTATACGGAACAAAATAAGACGCGACTTAAATAAGACGCGAGTTTGTCGTATAAAAGGTACAAAATTCTTATGTAAGACGCGTCTTACATAAGAACAGGACTTTTAGTCGCGTCTTAAATAAGAAATTTTGGACAAAAATTCTAACTACACATGCCCGAAACTTCAAACAACGTAAAATTATTAGCCTTGCATATTAAAACAAAAACAACCGAAACAACATTATAGCTATAGAAAGTACAAATAAGGATAAATTCGTAGAGAACCATTTATGCGATAACTCCGCTTATATAAGACGCGTCTTATGTAAGACGCGACTTATTTTGTCCCGTATAAATGCCCCTAATGTGTCCCATAAGTAGGTTGTTCTCGTGACGTAAAGTATGAGTCCGAGACATTTAAAAGGTTTACAGAACTTCGAGAGAAGAAATAATGGATGATCAAGGGATTTAAGTACGTTTTTAAAAATAAATACAATATTTTTTCAATCCTAACTCACATTAATTGGGGCCCCGTGCGAAGTTGCAGGAGAACAACCTACTTATGGAACATATCAAACGATGCCCGCCGAAGTTTCAACCCTTTAGTTTAATTCTCCCTTCTTTCGCCGCCTTCGTCTTTTCGCGCCCGCGTTCTTACTTGTCAGCGATTACTTAGTGAAACGTCATGTAGAGTGATATATAATAACTCCAAGCAGTTCGAAATGTTTACAGAACTTCGAGAGAAGAAATAATCGATTATCAAGGGATTCAAGTGGGTTTTTAAAAATAAATACAATATTATTTCAATCATAACTCATAGTGGGGCCCCCTGTGGTTTGAAACGATCTGCATGGACTCTGAACGCTCTCTTCTGAATTTTGTCGAGTTCTTTACCAAATTAAATAACTGAAATAAATTTCGTACTTTCCGCCCACAAGAATTGCACACACGATCTGATAAGTGAGACAATTTATTTATAACAATGGCGATAGAAGCACAAATTAATGTTAATGTAGTCGCACGACCTCCCTCCCACCTCGTCCACAGGGCCTTTGTACAAAGGCCCTGGGGATGAGGTTGGACTTCCCTCGCGATTTAAAGTTTGAGACAGGTTTTCTGTTGAAATTCGTCCTAATTTTCCTGTTCCGAATTTAATTGAAGATGAGCACTTGCAAATTTGACAATTATTTGAAGCTGGCTTGCTGGTTTGCTTGATTTTTCGGAGTTAAACGCAATCCTTTACACAATGTTCCTATGTTGAATAAGTAGAGAAAACCCCTCAACATTTTAATGCGAGTTTGTTTACTATTTAGGTTGCTGTCATTGGCTCTTTTTTGACAGTTGACGCGCGAATGGGGCGTATTTTGGCGTGTTATAAAAAAGGGCGTTTTACAAAACACCCGGTCTTCCTTGCATCCAGGCCCACTATTCTTCCCTCTGTGAGCCTGCAAGCGGGCTAGACAGACCACACTAGCGGATGATTTGAAGGTTGACTGAGAGAAACTTGCCCAAATATTTACATGTTTAATTACATTTATGAATGGAATTGCGCTAAGTGAGTGAATTTATTTGCTGCGCACGCTTTTGTTTTTGTTAACATAAAATTGTTTTTGAGAATAAAAGTTTAATATGCATTCAAATATTATTGTGCAGCAGGAAACTTCGCCGTTTCAAACAACAAAAAATCGACAATGACATTTAAAGAAGTGCCTGTTGGAAAAAGTTGACCCCCTAGTATAAGTCAAAACGAATGTATAAAATGCGTATGTTGTGACATGTACAGTACAGAAACATATATTATTATCTTATGATGACAATTACGTTATATGAGTGTGATTTGTGTTATTTGGTACAAGATTTTAACAGTCTTTCAAAATCATTGGGGAGGGGGCTCCCTATAGTCTCCGCCACTGCATGGTTCAACTCTTCCTTTATGTTTCTAGTCACTAGTGGGAAAGGACAAATATTCATGCCTAGATAAGAATTTATCATCAGTATAGCCTCTCTTTTTTCTTAAATTTGCCGGTGAATAACTGACGCGGGCTATAACTGGCTATCAAGTATACTAAATATATATGGTAGCTAGTGGAGACATGCATGACTCGTGATCAAGTAGACATTTCATATATATATATTGCTTTAAATACAAAAACGTACTGAAAATTATATGTGTCTTACTCTATAGCTTGAACAACTGAAGAAACAAGTTCAAAGTCAAGGGGATATGATCAAAGCACTTGGAAAACAAAATCTAGGTGACCACTCCAAATTAATTTCTATACCATTAGCTAATATGCTAAACTAATCTTCCCACAAGTTCGAGTATACTGTATATTAAAAAGTGTATATTCGTTTTTTGCTCTAATTTAATTGTAATCCTGCAGATTTTATGAAAAATGTTGTCAACAATTTTATTATAGCCTATACAATGTTTGTTGCTGTCACATATATTAAGCCGTTTTATATTTTGCAGCTTGCTATATATAGTTATTCTTGCTAGTTATTCAGTAATAAATATATAGTAAATTCGTTATCTTAAGGTTACAAAACACCTTGATTTAATATTGGTAAAAATTGATAAAAATCGGAGTGATCGGACCAATATTGAGAGGGTATATGCATGCATGAGAAAGGATTTTATGCCCGAGAGCCGCGGCTCCCCTTTAATTGATATTTACTATCTGATGGAGGTGGCAGAGTGCATTATAGGCGTGCGCGCCTCAGGTGAATTGTTTCCGATCAAGAGCTTTAAATAATAGCTTTTACAAGCAAAAGAAACCGAAACGAAAATTTCTTATGTTTTACAGATATTGCGAACCGCATTGCCATGTTACATCCTTCAACTTGTTCAATGTTGCGAAAACAATGTCCTTCATCAACAAGTGGAATGTATGATTTCAATCCTCATGAATGCAAGGCACTCAATTCATCATCGTCGCCACAAGTATACTGTGATATGACGTCAAAGAATGGTGTTGGTGTGACAGTGATTGGACATGACAGTGAATCGAGGACACTTGTGAAGGAACATGAATCTCCAGGTTCTTACAAGCGAGATATTAAATATAACATTCCACTGGAACAGATTCTTGCCATTATCAATCAGTCCAAGAATTGTGAGCAGTTTATAAAATATGAATGTTTCCATAGTGTCCTTTGGTCAAAAGGAGGAACACATTATGGTTGGTGGGTATCACGTCAAGGTTCACAGATGAATTACTGGGGTGGAGCGGCAGTCGACAGTGGAAAATGTGCATGTGGAATGACCAACAGCTGTGTCGGCGGAGGAAGGTGTAATTGTGACAAGAATGACCAGGCTTGGCGTGCAGACAGTGGATATCTGACAGACAAGAAAACATTGCCTGTTACTGAACTGAGATTTGGAGATACCGGTCATACAAAAAAACCATACAGAGAATCAGGATATCACACATTGGGAAAATTGCGATGCTGGGGTTAGGATCGAAGAACGTATTTTCAGGGATAATATACTGAAACGTTATTGATTAGACGTTAAAAACACATTTGATTAGTAGTGTAGAATGCGTTTTTGGTAGATTTGGTAAAAGTGCTCAATCATAGCCTAAATAGTTTAGCAAAAAAGTATAGAACTCAATATGAAATGATTATTAATAGCTAACAATGTGCACACTGTGGGTAGTTATACCAGACTATTCACTTCGTTCACAAAGTTAGTACCGTATACTTAATCAATATACATATGAAGCTTATCAAACTTTATATAAACTTTAAAATAACTCGGTCTGAATTATGTTTAATCTAAATAGAATGATACAATTAACTGTCGCATTGCATGGAATCTAAATTGAAAAGAATAAAAGTAAATTCGAATAGTCAGAATATTGTTTCGCGTTGTTCTTTAATTGATTTGGGGTTGCAGAAATGCCAAAGCATTAAGAAATTGCCCTCTGTGAGATTGCATATTTACCAAAGTATAGAAAAGTGTGTATGCCCTGTGTTGTTCCATGCAGAAATATTAGCCTTATACAACATTAAGAAAATGAATCTGCCTTGAAGCGGTTCACGCTTATGTATGTACATGTTGTAAACTTAATGTTTGAGCCAGCTCTTTTTACTTTATTCCTTTAATTAATTGTTTTTGATAAGTGTGGAAACACTTACCGAAGTTTCAGTGAGAATTCTCGATAAGCCATATAGACCGATTCAAAAAATAGTTGTCATTCTTTTTTCTTTCGAAATTAATTTCAACCAAGGTTATCATTGATGCCTTCTCGAATACTTCAAGACTAACAGTTTTACAAAGTTCAAATATAGTACAATGTCAATGTATTCTCTTTGAGAACATTTTTTGAGAACATGGGGAGACGCCCTCGAACTCCCCTGGTACCTTCGGCAACACATTGCCACTTCTTTCAAAAAGCATTCTACTCCAAATATTATTGGGAACCCCGAGTGACATATCACAGGGTGCGATAATTCAATATTTTTAGCCGTACCTGAGTGGTACTCCAACAATTTTTGCCGAGTACTTGAGCTAGTACAAACTTAAAAGTCAAGGTGTACCTAAGGCTACCTCCGAGTCTTGCGTTTTACACATACGTATATGATGCACGGTCTTTGACAGAAAAAATTAAACCTTTCTGAATTTTATATATTTAATAAATATACGTTTATACTATTACGCAATATATCAAACATAAAACTTAAATTCTCCACATTTATTCATTTAGTTAGTTCATGATAAACATTTTAATGAATTGCTAATAACAGGAATAAAACTTTTCCAACAACGCTTGTTAACGCTATACAGTATGTCCATAAATGGTTCGATGAGGTCAGGCTGTTAGCACCCTCGGTCAAATCTAGTGTAACTGAGCGATGGGCACTCGAGTAGCAAGAATGTTTTGAAAATTGTTATGTTATGTCGTACAAATACCATTAAAGATTAATAATTATTTTGTTTCTACAAAATTGTCCATAGTTTTTGCTTTTAGACCATGCAGTAAACCATTCAATGTGATCTAAACGTTTGAGGTAATTCTGAAATCTTCGAGAACTATAGTGAATCCTCCACTCTACTCTCTAATCGATAGCATATATGAAGCGTCTACTACCTACGTATAGACGCCAAAAACACTTATAACAAAGTTGACAACCTTGTTTGATCCCAAAATATGTCGGATACATGCTGTGTGGAATTTACATGTCCAGCTAAAGTTATTGACGGTTTTGAATACCTTTAAAGATTTGCTAGTAATTGCTAGAAGGAAAATGGAAGTACTCGAATAGCAAATTATAAAGTACCAGACCGTATAATTTTGGCGTACCTCCGGTACGTTGGTATACGCGAATTATGCACCCTGCATATCAAACAAACAGTGCACTAGAAAATAACTCAATCTGTTTTTTAAAATGTTCGTAAAGTATTGTAAATTGATACAAAAATGTTGCACCAGAATGTTGTTTCGTGTTATTCTTTATTACAATCGAAGTCAAAACAGGAAATTTCGGTACTTTCTTGCAGCTTCCTATATTAACCCACAGCATGGAAAGGCACTGGATGTGCATTTCCGACATTTTTGGCTTCACTATTTGGACGCGAGTTCTTACTCCAAATATACTATGTGTATGGAGCTAATACATCCAGCAGAATTTTTAGTCTGACACAGGCAACTTAATTCTAAACTACAAAATCGTAAACTGTGTTAAAATCTCATCAAAAATACAAAGTCTCTGTGTTGTTCATGCTGTACGGGATTATTGATTATACCATTTACATGTACTGTATGACCATGCTGTAAATTCTCTTTTCACATAGTTTCCATAATGGTAGAAATGTCTCGCATTTCAGTTGCAAATTTCTAAATAAACAAATAAAAATTAGGTGTCGAACATATCTGCGGTTGGCATATAATTGTTACCATTTGGTAGTGTAAGTTCCCACTGTATTGAGCAAATCCAATGGAATATGGAGGAAGGTATCCGTAAGAAAAGGTTCGACTCAGGTGCTATACACATTGCTTTTAGTCCAATAATATATAGGAGGTCGGAGACCGTCTGATTGTCATGACCTTACCTTAAATTCTGATAACGTCATTTCAAATGAATTACTTGAAACTTTTCCAAATGAATCCGTTGATTTGACCAAGGCAGTAACGAATGGAGAATTTAAACCTTTGCAGTTGGTAGAACTCATGCCAACACTTAGTTTCCATTGAATATCTAACAACTACACATGAAAAACAAAAAAAGTATTCAACAACATATATTCTTCGACCAAAGCAGCGTGGAAACTACTTCATGTCTTTTTTGACCCAATGGATAACTATTTCATACAAATACATGCAATGAAGTACAGAATTAGCCTGAGAACAGGCTCTCAAGGTGAATTGAGAGCCTGCACTGATGATATACAATTTTGAATATCTGCCCCGTAACGTTCGTTTTTCCAAATATGGAATGTCTATCATTATATGGTGTTATGTACAAGTTTCGTGCAAACTAAATTTAGACCGTACAAACTAAATTTAGACCGTACAGTTTATACTGTTTTTCGAAATATAAGATATTCAAGCAAAAGTTTAAAACAAAACAGTTTCTCAAAACAGAACATTTCGTGCTTTGAGATAAGATGGCCAAGACAAATTTGATCAGTTAATGTGTTTTTTATGCATAGTGCTTCAGCAGTTGACATATATAGAGCTCAGCGGAAACGTATAAATTATAGCATCTGACCAATGAGAATTTCGCGTCCCGATTCGAGACGCAGATATTCAAAGTTGTATGCCATCAGTGCAGGCTCTCAATTCACCTTGAGAGACTGTTCGCAAGCTAGTACAGAATGGAAGAACTTGGTTTAAGAATACAATCAGATTGCATCCTTCAACTAACTTTATATACGAATATTGTTAAAACCCGCTGATATACTTGTTTATCAAGACAAAAGAAAAGTTCTTATTGATAGGGATGCAACTATCTGAAAGTAACTCCCCGACGCAGAGCCTTCGCTCGAAAGTTCTCCTTGTATTTTTCAGGTAGTTGCATCCCTATAAATCCGAAGTTTTCTTATTAAGGGCACACTACCTACTGTACACTGGCACAGACTGTTCAAGATTATAATGTCAAGATAAAGTTTGCGTTGAATGTTGTTAGACAATGGGCAGAGATAACGCTTCTTACCTGACCGACAGTAAAGCTTTGATCTAAATTCGAGTTCGAAACTAAATGACCCTAAATAAAGATTGAAAAAAATATTCCTCTCTCACGATTCAATAGCTATAATTACATTTACACTGTACATGTGTCATTGAATGAAGAAGCACCGAGTTAAAGGGTTTTAATACGACCTAGACCACTTTCACAATAGACGCAAATTAAAAGTGTTCTTTCACGTGCATCTTTTAAGTTTTAAAGCCTTCTTGGCCTCGTCTTATTATTATTATTTTTTTTTTATTTATTTTGCCCAATAAAAAGTTTACATAATTACAGTGCTATAATAACAACGTGAAGGGCTAGGGACCTTAATGAAACCCTTTCAGGCTTTTTGGTAAGAGGTCCCTAGTTTTACAATGTTCATAAGAATAATTTTTGAGAGTCGAACAGAATATTTACAAGTAATGATTATTACATAACTAAGTATTAAGAAGAAGAAAAGTTTAATTTAACTAAAAATTATTTTTCTATATACAAGAATGAAGGCTTTGTGTTTTCTGATGCGTATATACAAACATTATGACTTGTTTGATGACAATCAAATATATTCCAAAAAGAATATCTTTGATTTTATTTTAAAAGTAAAATAAGACCTAATATTGCTAATCTTTTCATCAAGGGAATTCCATATTTCAATTCCCTTGTTAATAACGGTATGTTTGGCATAGTTAACGTGAAATTTGTTCTATAGTTAACGTGAACTTTGTTTGCATTTCGAGTATTATAACGATGTATTTCACTATTCCGCGTGAAGTAATTATTAAAAAATTCAGGTAAATTTTGGAAGTAATTAATACGGTACATGAATAAGCAACTTAAGCAATCATTGATCTTAAAAATATTTAAGATCTTCAACTTGTGAAATAACGGTTCAGTGTGTTCAAGATAGGATTTTAAGATAGGATCTTCTTGACTGAAATTGAACGAATCCAAGAAGGCTCATTAACATTCGCGTACAGTAGAAAAACAATGATGCTAATATCCGTCCCAATATGAATTGAAACATGAATTTGAACTGCAAATACTGTCCACAATGGAAAACAAAACAAAATTAATGTACATGCAGTAACATTGGCGATACGATATGATTTTCAGGAACTATTTGTACTTTATGCCTAATGTGACGACAATATAAAAACTACAGCACTGTACACATGCTTTCATTCATCACGTTTCATATTAGTCACATATACTGTACCTGTTCACTCCAAACACGTTTCAGGGTGGTCAAAACGTCCTCTTTTAAAGTTCCGTTGGATTTAAGTTCATTGTACAGTGATTCCGCCGTTACTTTTCCCGTAGCAGCTGACCTGAAAATATATTTTTCAATCCCTATAGATGCATAATTTTGTGCACAATATTACATTATACTTTATATTCTAGAAAGATAAATTTGGAAAGATAAATCCACTAATCTGGCATACAAAAATATGAAGTTTTTACTTAATGTGGACGGTCAAAAATTTTACCCAGTTAGGAAGTTCTTTCAACAAAATGAACAAATTTAAATTTTGTTGCTCATACACTTATAATCTACACTACAGTCAAACAAATGTAACAAAGTCATACCGTACTCTACCTAAACACGTGAGTTAGACCATTCACCACGAGTTTTGGATCAATATCGCTGTCCGAACATGTGTGACTTAAACACTATAACGTAGTATAATTGTGTGAGATTCGGACAATAGCTGGGAATCAGCATGCGCATTAAGCCAATTCAGAGTATCGACTGCGCATCCAAATGATGTGTTCTTCATCGGGATAAATTGCAGTTGAATCATAAAATGTAGCAGGGATTGTAGCCAGGGGGAGTCACTTCCCAGTTTTGCCTGAGACAAAAGTCGGTCCCGAACTTCTGCTATGAGAGTTGTTTTACCCACAAGCCACAATTGTCTGGTGTAGACAGGAGCATTTTTTCATCGAAATTCTTCAACCCAGTGCCGGAAAGTGCAAGAAATGGCATTTCCGAGCCTCATTTTTGCAAATTTTTCCTTGGCTGAAAATTTTAACTTAATAGTTCCCAACTCAGCTGGAACTAATTCCTCCCGAAAATAAACCCTGCTCCGCTGCCACTGGTTGTAGAGTACAAGATAGTCGGTCCCAGATCGTCTGAACCCTCCAACCCCAGCAATTTGTTGAATGTGCGCCCCTGAATGTAGCACGGAGACCGGAAGCATTAAATATAAATTATAAGTCAGGGTGTCCACCCTTTGGTGAAGGTGAAATTCAAGGACTTTTCCAGGACTTTCAAGGTCCTTTTTCAGTGAATTCAAGGACCTAGAACTGGGAAAAATCTTTGAAAATGGCATGGATTCGCTGTAAATAATTAATTCACTTTATTCAGTAACTTTAATCAAAATCACTAATGTTGGCACAGCTATAGAGGTTAAGGAAATTAATTCCAGTACTTTCAAGGACTTCTGAGCACTGATTTTCAAGGACTTTCCTGTCCTGGAATTAGTTTTTTCCAATATTCAAGGACTTTCCAGGATTTTCAAGACCCATGGACACCCTGATAAGTGTATGCATGTCAAAGTATGTATTAAATTGTTGAATCATTATTTGTGTTTCACTTTTTCAGAGCTACAATAAGACTGTCATTAAATACCATGCAACTTTATTACTAGAATATTTTGTCATTCTGTGTAAAGCAAAATGCACAATAAAGAAAGGTATGTTAAGGATTATATTTTCAAATTTAAGGCGAGTAAATTAGCTTGAGGAAACTAATTGTTTTTTAGCACATTTTTGCATATTCAGATGATTGAACATATTTGCATATTCTGTTTCTCCCAGTCCCGGCTTCGACTTATAGTTCAACTGCAATTTATCCCGAAGTCCTTTGAATTGGCTTATAGGTAGTTTGTCTAATTAAATAAACAGGAGGCATCACCTTATTCTGAAGCAAACAAAACCTGAGCTGGCTACAGTGTATAATTATATGTACATACAGTACGGTACCTGAGTAAAACATCAAGTCACCAGCTCAGGGTACAGTATGTATACCTGGGTTCATGCGAGTCCAGGGCTGCACAGAGGGGGGGGGGGCAAAGGGGAAATTTTCCCCGGAGTAATTAAATAACATAAATTAAAACAATTTTGTGAATAAATAACACTGTACTGTACATCAAGCCATCTGCATGTCAGGGGCATGTAAGACAGCAGTATAGTATCTGCAATAGTTGAAATTAATAGACAGGTTCAGACTTCAGATTTTACGATTTAGGGACCATTATCCAATCAGATGTGTTTGATATATGGTGGAAGTCAAATCGGAACCTCTCTATTATTTGGAGAAGTAAGACTGTTGAACATTTTTCCAATTAGTTTTCAAGTGCATGCATGGCCTCACTCTTTATTTGCCAGGTTACTGACAACTTGCATCAGGGGTTATCCGTTACTCATCCCGATGAGTTGGATTATTATTGGCCAATAAGAATTGCTGTATATAGGATGTACCTGTGACTTAATTTTATGGGTTAAGTTGACTAACCATTTTGTAGTGATCCAACGGTATAAAACTGGTTTTATATTGTAGCATTGATGCAACATCTTCGCACTGGAAATTAAAACAAATATTGAATTACTATACAGTACTGTAACTGACAATAACAGTAAAGACATGTTCCATTATTTAATTAGATTCACCAAACTGCATGAAGGGAAGCTGGGAGCTAGACACTTCACTAGTACAAGGTAACGAGGGCAGGAATTTATCCAGGTGGATATACAAAACAAAACTATATTTATTTATAATAAGTACTGTAAAAATAATTTATAAACAGAAAAATCCAAAATTCAGTTAGCCTGTGTCACAGGCTCATGAATGGGAGAAATTTGGGTGTTCAATACAAGGGGTTCACCACAGCCGTCCAGAGCAATTACAAGATTTCAGCTGAAATCCTGATTTCTGTATTGTACATGATTTCAAGATTACCTGAATATATTAGTTACAGCAATGTTTGTATATTTTAATATTTATAAATGTATTCACTCCAACTCAGGAGCAATTTGAAATTGGAATATCATGAAAACTGTGAAATTAGAGTGCTGTCATAAAAATGCAAAAATGGATGCAATATGTCGTTCTTTCCAATTTCCCAATATTCAAGTCTAATTCATTGCTGGCACTTTTGTGCATGATTTCTGATTTTGAAATAGTCTGATTTTCAGTTTATTTCAAGTTGATTTCTTGATTCCTAAACCTAATTTCTGAATCAAGTGTACAAGATTTCTGCCATGATGATGGCCCCTTGGGTTCATGCAAGATCATTGGACAATTTTTCATCCTGCCTGGCCAGACTGGAAAGTTTGGAAATTGTGCGCCGGAGATCTCGAAAATTTAATAGTAAATATATAGAAAGCATCAAAAATATGTGCGGAAGTTCTTCCGCATGCGGTGCAGAAAATGCAGTCTGGCTACATGCATGTACCTACATGTACATATGGTGTCAGCTTACTCAACCATTACCAAGATGAGGCCCAGTAGCCTGCTTTCTCATAGGAATACAATGCAAATTGTTATTTAATAGTAAAATAGGTCTGAAGTAAGTGGATGGCCAGTCGGCCACATGCTGTATGAACAGGCCTTAAACCAGGTTGGAATCCATAGGTGTTACGCTGGATATCTCCGGTGTAAAATGTTATTGATATTTTACTACATTGGCGGGCGTGCAGAGCAAATGAATGATCACCTGATCATCGGCGGGGTGTAAAACGCTGTAATACCAAATTATTTATTTATACATCTTGAGGTATAAAGGTCTTGAACTCTTTGAATATCTATTTGAAATGGTACTCTTCAACTGACTTGGATTTAAGTTCTTCACTGCCAACTGGTTAGGTGATCAATATTATGCGGCCATTTCCGTTTTCATTGAAAATATATTTCTGGATGTGGCGTAATTAGTCGGTGTCCACTTGGCACAACCTCCAGCGTAAAATTTTGACAGATTCCAACCTGGGCCTTAAATAGTTGAAGAACCTTCCCAATTTTATTACTCTGTGACTCTGTCTAATGCCAGATAATTTTACTATTGTTTTAGAGGGGATGGGGTTGTGTATTTAACATTAACAATAGGCATAATTTCATAAACTATTTATAGTATTTTGCAGGTAAATATGATTTTATATTAGAATGTTTGGGTTTGTAATCCAAGTGAGAATATATACATTTTAAGACCTAACCAGGAACGACTGCAAAAAATGCAGCACAAGGTCCTCTGGTAGGAATTGAACCTACGGCCCGGCGATTCCGGTGCAGCGCTCTAACCAACCGAGCTACAGAGGCCAGCTGTTAAGCTGTAACCGTATGTTCACGTATATATAGGTAATCGGGTGTGCGGGTTGTGATAATTATAGGTGGACTTCAATGATTTGGATATTTCTTGCACTTCACTTGGTGGAATTAATATTAGAATGATAGGGTTTGTAATCCAAGTGAGAATATATACATTTTAAGACCTAACCAGGTTATGACTGTGAAAAATGCAGCACAAGGTCCTCTGGTAGGAATTGAACCTACTGAATTAAACCATTGAGCATTTTTCGCAGTCGTTCCTGGTTAGGTCTTAAAATGTATACATTCTCACTTGGATTACAAACCCTAACATTCTAATATTAACTCCACCAAGTGAAGTGCAAGAATCCAAAATATGATTTTATACCATTTCAAAAAGAAGGTCTTGTGGAACTTGATTGATGGCTTTCACAGCTGATGAAAACCCTATTGACACAGATAGAAAGTGTATGTTAAAATGAATTGAATCCAAAATATACATAAAGAACCAAGAAAGCTTTCCAATAAGATTAACAACATACCATCAAGACTTTCTAAAGATTTCAGCACAGACATATTAAACTTTGGCCCAAATTCTAATTGTTTAATTAAATATGCAAAACCAAAACAATGCTTCCATATAATATCACAAATTTCCCATTGCATTTTTTAAAATTTTGTACTGATCTGAATATATGAACTGGATAGAGATTCATTGTCCTCAACAATTTTGAACTTTTCAAAACAAACACTATGTTTCAAATGTCAATCAGTTCTCTTCAATACAGTCTCTATCCAAGGATTAATACCCAGAGCAGCCCATGTTTAACGGTGATGCGTAAATGGTAGGATGGCCAGGGCCGTAGGAACCGGGAGGCCAGGCCCCCCAAGTTTTGCCAAGTGCCCTTTTTCCGGGAGCAAAGTGCTCATTAAGATTGCATTTTTTGCCCAAAGGGCACTTTTGAAAACTTGAATCTATAAATTGTTCCATTTCCAAGAAAAATATTATATATCCGGAAAATTTTTTGGTACGTCCGGAAAAATTTTTTCATTTCCGGGAAAATTTTTTTGGATGCCCTTTTTTTTCAAAAAGTGCTTCTCAAAGCCTGGCCCCCTCAACTTTTAGAAGCTTCCTACGTCCCTGAGGATGGCAATAACTTGTGAATCGTTTGTTTTGCGTGAGCAGATTTTCTCAACCTCGTACCCAGCCAGGGTCTTTCCTCTTAGCGTTGGCCAGGGGAGAAAAGACCAAATCTCGTACCCAGAGCCACTCAACGATGGTTCTGGGAAGTTCTGGGTACGAGATTGAGAAAAGATCCTGGTAGACGCTGGTCACGTGATCTGCTAAAATCTAGCAGATTTTTAATTAGCAATCCAAGATGAGGTCAATAAATATTTGATATTTGGATAATTGTTATAGTTTAATTTATAATTTACTTTTTGTATGATTGTCGTAAAGGAATCTAAGATAGTTAATTAGAAATCTGCCACGCTGGTCTTACTCAGCAAATTTTCTCAAAGTACCGCAGGCTCGCGTTTTCAGCGGACTTGTTGTGAAAAATTGAAACTTTTGCATTTTGCACTGAACTGCCCACTTTCTGTAAGATGTTCGCTGACAATACGAGCTCGCACGAGTGGGAGAAATATTTCTAAATTTGACCAACGTGTGCTAGATTTTAGCAGATCACGTGACCAGCGTCTATCAGGGTCTTCACAAGAGGAAAGACCCTGGGTACGAGGTTGAGATTTTCCAGGACTGGAAAAGGTCCGAACTCCTGTTGTTTTCCTTGTAATATTTTGACTGTAACTAAATGCAGAGGCCGCTGAACGGGGGGGGGCACATGAATGAGGGCAGGTGTACCATGGAGAAATGTGCCCTTTTTGTGGAATAAAAGTGCCTCTTTCCTGCAATTAAAGAGGAATTATTATAAATGCTCCTTTTAGCTTAATTTAAGCTAACAAGTCTACAAAAGTCTACGTAAACAAGCGGACAGAACTGATGAACTGGAGTTTGATTACTAAAGACTTTGTTATCAAAACGACCGGACATAGGCGTACGGGAAAGAAAAAAATTGGTGGGGGGGCAGAAAGAAATTTGCCCGACTTTTTCCAATTTTGCCCGACAATTGCCGAAAAATTTTTTCAGGAAAAAAATTTTTTGGCGACCTCACCACCCCCCCTCCCCCCGTCGCCAAAAAATTTCGGTGAGTGTACCATTTTAGGGGTCAAAATTTTTTCCGGACATACCAAAATTTTTCGAAACGTCAAACAAATTTTTCCAAAAATCGAAAAATTTACATAATTTCCCACAAAATTTACAGAATTTGTCCCATCAATTTTCTATCATAACCAAATGTTACCCGACTGTGAAGCGAATATTGCCCAACTGGCTCTGTTTGCCCAACAAACTGGGGTTATTATTAAGAGAGATTTTCTTGTTTTGACTACTTTTTGCCCGACTTTTGTTGAACATTTGCCCGACTTTTCGACTTTGTAATCTGTTTGGGGGGGCAGTTGCCCCCCTGCCCCCCCCGTCCCGTACGCCTATGCGACCGGATACTTTGCGGGCAATTTTGAATGAAATTGTATTAATCGGCAATAAAAAACTGTAAAAAAATTTAAATTGGTGGTTAAAAATAATTGTTCATATAAGTTCAGTTTAGGTCGCAGAGCTACTAGGTAGCCTAATACGTATAACATCCGAAGCTGTATATTGCATGCGTCCACTAACCTCTATAGACCTTCTAAGCACAAATCTAACATATTTCAGAG